TATTTAATTCAATAGGTATACAAATATAAAAACTAATACAAATAAAATATAAAGGTATTAAAATACATAAAAATAATAATAATACATAATTATAATAAAAATAAATAATAATAATAATTGGACACTGAAACAGCATAGTCATACAAATTATTAAAAATTAAAATAATAAAAGTAAAAAATGAGTTGCATGAGTAGCGTGACGTTTATTATATTATCATTTATCATGTTTGTTATCACTATCCACTATCTTATTACGATTATACAACAATGAAGAACGTTTCGTAACGTTCCGTACATGAAACGAAAACACTATAAATTAATAACACTGCAACACTGATTCTCGATTACAACAAAAATATTATTAAATTTTAAATTTTAAATTTAAAAATGTTCCCTGTCTAGTATAATATTAATATAGATATCTATGCATTTATTAAAGAAAAGGCCGGAGGCCGCAGGTGGGGCCGCGGCCTACCCGGCCCCCCCCGTGCGCACGCCTATGAATATATATATAATATATATTATGCCTATACATTTTTTTTATAACCGTATACAAAATATGTTAGCGCGAGAGTGTACTAGTTTATACATATTATTGTACATTATAGCTGTATTTATTTAATGGAACCGGCAACCGGCTGTATATTATGGTTCACAAGGAACTGGCGGCGGTATCCGCTCGCTCGTCTTTTACAGTTTTACCGGCGGTGCGCGCTGCCCACGGTTTAAGATGGATATCTTAAACCGTGGCGCTGCCGAATGCACAACAGACAACAGAGTGACCAGTCACGAAAGCGGATAATTGATTCAGAAAATCTTTTTTAAAACATCAAACAAGTATAATATTCTATACAAATATTAATATCTACAATCTATATAGTGTCTACAACTATCTACCATTAACTGAGTACCAACAATTATTATATTGTGTTTATACTTGATCGGTAGACGGGAAGCAGGGCCGCGCAAACTAGGTGTGCGAGATGTGCGAAAAACAAGGGCGGCAAAAAGTGGTAATATTCCAGGGGCGACAAATGAATTTTGACGCTTAGGGGTTTAGTAGGTATCGTATGGTTCTATCGTCAATCAATATTTTCTTGACATGCAATTTGTAATAAATATACAACATACTACAATATAACAAATAAATACAATAATTTATAACAGGATAGTAACTAGCGACATTGTGTACAATACTACATTAGCTTTAAGCGAGTGGCTGTATCGACTATCGAGTTATTTAAACAACTTTAAAATAAATCTGTTAAATTTCATCAGTCCACGGGAATTACCCAAGATAAGCCGAGCACTAGACCGTCGATCCTTGGTAAACAACCGCAGCGTTGTCGTCGGACACGTGCAGCTGGTCGTCGCGGTCGGATAGAGTATAAATGTATAATATTTATGTTTAATGTAAAATCATTATTCATTTGTAAAAGTGTAGGTAAACATTAAAATTTTTCGTTATTTTAATATTTTATATCTACGTTACGTCGTTACCTACGTTTATTGTGTATTTTTATGTGTTTCTGTATTATAACTTAATTTACTATGAACCGCAAGCGATTAAGTGGTGCTGGTTATCGGAAAATATATCAAGAGAAAGCACAGAAGTTGGAGGATGTGCTATCCAAAACTAGAAAAATTAATGATTTTTTCTCAAATGCTAGCACGGAAGCTGAAGTTAATCTGACCGATCTAGGTACTTTTTGTACTTAAAAAACATATGTTAGAATTAAGGAATCTTTTTTTGCTTTTTTTTTGAGAGTTATTCTAAAGTATTCAGTTTTTCACTTTAATAGGTAACTACCAAAAATGAAAATGTATTAGGTATTAATAATTTTTCATACTTAAGCTATATTAGTACAAATTAATACATCTAGTACAATATGATATTTGAATTTGCATTTTATATTAATTATTATATGAATATTGCCATATATTTAATAGTACCTATATGGCTATATTTCAACAGGTAATACCTCATTGTCACCGCAAAGAATTATAAGCGTGAAAGAAGATGTTGATGAGTCCATGAATGAAATCACTTCATTGGTATCAGAAAAATATATAAGTAAGAAAGAAGATATTGGTGAGTCCATGAATGATTTATTAGTGGAAAACATTTTGATATCTGATGATCCTGGTACATGGCCTGATCATTTGAACAATAAAAGTATAGAAATTTTAATAATGCACCATCCTGTTCAAGTGAAAAATTATAACTTTCCTTTAGATGAAATGAATAGAAAATTTTCTGAAGTTTACTATTACCGTAATATGAGTAATAGCGAAAAAATTATTCGACCTTGGTTACTATATTCCATTATTAATAATAGTGTTTATTGTCTTTATTGTAAAATATTTAACAAAAAACAAAGCAATCAATTTATTACTGGGTGTAATGACTGGCAGCATTTATCTTTTTTACTTTCCAAACATGAATTAAGTTATAACCATTTAACTTGTTGTCAAGAATGGTCAAAATTAACATTATCTCTAAAAAAAGGGACCACCATTGATTGTATACAACAACGAATATATGAATTAGAAAAAAAACGGTGGTGTGCTGTATTAGAGAGAATTGTTTATATTATTCAATTTTTATCTCAACAATCTTTGGCTTTTAGAGGAAGTTCTAATTTACTTTATCATCATGACAATGGTAATTTTTTAAAACTTACTGAAATGATATCTAAATTTGATAATGTGATGTTGGAACATTTGCGTAGAGTGGAAAAATCACAAAATTGTCATTCAAAACAGGCTCATTACTTAGGAGATAAAATTCAAAATGAGTTGATAGCTTTAATAGCAGAAAATATAAAATCAAAAATAATTGACATGTTAAAAGAATCAAAATACTATTCAATTATTCTTGATTGTACTCCAGACGTGAGTCATTCAGAACAATTGACAATTGTTGTAAGATTTGTTAAAAAGAACGAAGCAGTAATTTGTGAACATTTTTTAGGTTTTGTTCCCATTAATGATTCTACAGGAAAAGGACTTTCAGATTGTTTATTAAATGTTTTAACTGAATTAAAATTAAACATAAATGACCTAAGAGGACAAGGCTACGACAATGGTGCGAACATGCGAGGAAAGCACAATGGTGTACAGAAAAAAATTCTTCAGATAAATCCTCGTGCTTTTTTTGTGCCTTGTTCTGCACATTCCCTTAATCTAGTTGTAAATGATGCTGCTAAAATGTCATTTGAAATTGTTGATTTTTTTAATATTGTTCAAGAGTTATATGTTTATTTCTCTGCGTCAACAAAACGTTGGAATATTCTAAAAAAAAATATTTCAAATTTAACATTAAAACCTTTATCAAACACTAGATGGGAAAGTAGAATTGAATCGATTAAGCCACTAAAATATCAGCTTGGAGAAATATATGATTCTTTAATTCAAATAAATGAAGATGAGACAGAGGACATGAACACACGACTACTAGCCCAGTCGCTGGGTAAAAAAATACAATCCTTCAAATTTATTTGTGCTACAATAATATGGTATAAAATATTATCAAAAATTAATGTTGTGAGTAAAATGTTTCAAGACCCAAAATTAAATATTGGCGTTGCTTTAGAGATGATCGAAAATTTAAAAGAATACTTTACAAATAAAAGAAGTGATGAACATTTTTTAGATATTATCTCAAAGTCAAAAGAGTTATCTTTAGATGTAAACGGAGACACTACATTTCCAATAGAACAAAGACTTAGGAAAAGAAAGAAACATTTTGATTATGAGACTGAAGATGAACCCATAATTGATCCACATAATAGTTTTAAATGTAACTTTTACTATACTATTTTAGATTCTACTCTTTCATCACTTAATGAAAGATTTGAGTTACTTAGATCAAATTCGGATATATTTTTAATATTTTATTCAATTAAGAATTTAATACAAATGTCTGATATAGAATTACTCAAACATTGTAATGATTTACAAATACATCTGACCGATAATGTCCTTAATGAATCTGATATAAGTGGTCCTGAGTTGTACGAAGAAATTAAATCATTAAGAATTCATTTAAAATTAGATTACAATTCTCATGATGTTTTAAATTATATTCATACAAATGGTTTATCATCATTTTTCCCTAACACGTGTATTGCTCTACGCATTTATTTAACAATGCCTGTTAGTGTTGCTACAGGAGAAAGATCTTTTTCAAAGTTAAAGATAGTCAAAAATTATCTTAGATCAACCATGAAACAAGATAGATTGACTAATCTGTCAATTATTTCAATTGAACATCAATTATGTCAAAGTGTGGATACAAAATCATTAATTGAAAAGTTTTCAGCTGTAAAAGCTAGAAAAGTTCATTTTGTTTAAGTTCAAAAATTATACATTTATATAATAAGCTATTTTGTAACATTATAATATATTCTATGTAATTATAAAATACTATAAAATAATGATACTGTGTTTTTTTTTTTAACAGTAGAAGTTTAATTTTTTTCATCTTGATTTTAATGTTTTGTTCTTATAATTATTTTAAAGTTCATATTACTGGATTATTGTGTATATATCCAGTCTATAGGTTTATAGGTAAAGTAAAAAAAGTTGATTTTTATCAAATTTATTTCATTGAGGTAAAGTTGTCTAATATTTTAAAATAATATATTATGTTTTTATGTTTAAATTTAATTAATTTATTGGAAGACAGCTAATAACATTTGATACAGGTATTTACATGTTACAATCCTCATAAATATGCAAGTACAATTTTTGTTTAGTCAAGGTATGATATTGAGTGATCAAGTGAGAGGGGGGGGGGGCGGCAATTTTTTTGTAGAACAAAGGTAGCTGAATAGGTCAGAGCGGGCCTGACGGGAAGTACCTATTAAAATAGTAATTACTAATTGTTAATAATAGTTATTTATAAATGTTATGATGGTGTTTGAAACTATTACAACCGTGATCGGGAGATGGTCGGTTATGTCATGACTCTGAAGCGAGGAGTGGGGTATAAGTATTAATAACGAGCGATAGCCGGACTATGGACTCGGTAGTCGGTATTTCAGTGATTGATTACTGGTTATTGTTATTGGGCATTTCTTGGCAAATCTTGACTATTTTTAATTATTTCATCCATGAAGATACATAGAAATAGAAATATGTTATTGTCGATTGTCGTCAAACGTAATAATTTTCAATTGTCATCCTACGACCTGCGTGGCTGCGTTCACCATTTTACCAGCGTCTGCGACCCAGTACTCACTACTCTGAGTGAACTCTTGTAGCAGTACTGCTCACTGCTGTATATAGTGACATTATAGTGTTGTTTATTGTGTATTTGTGTCACAGTGTCGGTTTGAAGTATAGATTATACATAATCCCGTTCATAGTCGACTCACAGTGAATTTCTGACGTAGGTAAGTAAATTAATTATTTATAATTACCAATAGGCTTTATACAATTATTATAAAGCAATATTTAATCGTATACCTATTATGGCTGTATATATAGATATGTAGGGTAATAAATATGGTGTGTACAGTGTACTAAGTAAAATGTAAAGAGTACCACAGAATATAATAATATGGGGTAGTAAGTATAGTACCTATAGTTGCAATTAATAGAAGGGTGAGCGTTTGTTTTTAGCAAATGTCTCTGGAACCCTAATTTATATGCTATAGGTACTATTTTTAAAATTTTATTTTATTAGCTGTTAAGGATTCAACATCAAGGATTATTAGCCTACTTTTAGTTTAAGTAAATACATTTATGATATAGTTTGATACTATTTATGTAATGTTTTTGGATACCTACAAATCTCTTACAGTTTCACATAGTATTTGTATACTAAAACCGTTATTATGTCATACACAATTAGGTGTAGGGCTTTTCGTATTTAATAATTATGGTATCTGGATAAATATTTAACTCTGAAGCCTTAGCCTCAGCCTCAAGACTTAGCCTCGTGCATATATAATATGTAATACTATGTAGGTAAATATATTAATAAAATAATTATTAATTACCTAAGCTACTAGTATAGGTACTACTTACATATTATTTACCTGTATTAGATATTACATATTATTCATATTTGGTTAGTAACTAACATAAATTAAAGATTTATATAGGTATAGTTTATACAATTTTAATTCCCCCTATATACTTTTTTCAACTTAAAATACTTTATTTAATGTTTCGCTTATTAGAATCTAATAACTTAATGACAATAAATTACATATGATACCTATATACCTAGTTACTATTTAAGTTTAAGTAATAAGTAAATCCTAAATTTCAACTACTAATTCATTTCAATTTTTTATTTGTTATGTAAAAAGTAATTAATATTTAATATGTACCTATATAATTGTTATTTTATTAATTCAATTTATACAGGTTAACTATAGCTTATACCAAAAAGTTAAAATCATAATTTACTAGCTCATTTTTGTCTCATATTCATTAACATTAAAAAATGTTTAATACCTGCAGTAGATCTTGAATCTTGATAGATATATAAATACTTTTTTAATCTATATTAAATTTATATTTTTTAGGTCAAATCTAAAAGTGTTTATAATTATTATGAGTACTATTGCATTGAAGTTATAAGTGATACCTATATAAGTGAAGTCATTTTTATAAACGTGAGTATCTTTTTAGATTTTAAAAACCTTAAGTAGGTAGGTATTATAGCTGGTATCTAAATTATTTCTAAGTTTTTACGTTTTGTATTTTACATTTTTATGTTATAGGCAAGCAAGTACCTATATATTTTATCACTTCACATAAAATGATTTTAAGTAAGCGTACAAAAAAAAGAAAAATTAAAAATGAAATTGATTATACACTTAATACAATTTATGGCAAATCTAATGATATTTTCCAAGAAGTTTCTCCATCAGTTAATTTGTGTGACAATAATGAATCATTAAATACAGTACTAAATGTATTGTCTCCAACAGTGTTTTCTCCAATTGCTAAAATCCCAGATATAGTATTATTTAGTACTTGTACTTCCAATACTTGTTCAGAAGAAATATCTGATATTCTGTGTGATAATAATGTTGGAGAATGTTCAATTATTCAACACAATTTTTCTTTAAGAGACTTTCTAGCATCATGGGCTCTTGATTTTAACATTTCTCATATAGCTTTGAATGGATTACTAAAGGGATTAAAAAAACATGAATGTTTCAAAGATTTACCGGTTGATAGTAGGACTATTTTATCAACTCCAAAAAATATTCATCAGAGTATACAAACTGTTTTGCCAGGAATTTATCACCATTTTGGATTGTCCTCTGCAATTTTGAAGTATACTCCCAACAATGTTAATGAGGTCAATATTGCAATAGGAATCGATGGGGTACCTTTGTCGAAGAGTAGTGGTGGTCAATTTTGGCCAATTTTAGGGTATATTACTTCTCAAAAATTGTCCCGCAAAAATGTTTTTCCTATTGGCATATATTATGGATTTGAAAAACCAAATGATAGTAATGAGTTTCTTTCAAATTTTGTAGATGAAGCTAAATTATTAATTAATAATGGTATTGTTAGAAATAATATCACAATTAAAATTTCAATAAAAGTATTTTGTCTTGATGTACCCGCTAAAAGTTATGTCCTGCGCACAAAAGGTCACTCTGGATTCTCGTCATGCACAAGATGTACAATTGAAGGAGAATACATAAAGGGCAGAGTCTGTTTTCCATACTCCCAAATGCCATCATTAAAAAGAAATCATCACTCTTATATCAATAAACTCGACGAAGACTTTCATACTTCTAATGAATTAACCCGTTTAATTGAATTGCCCGGGTTTGATTCAATTAACTCTTTTAGTCTCGATTATATGCACCTAATTTGCTTAGGAGTAATGAAGAAGCTTCTATTTCTTTGGACTAAAGGACCACTGAATGTTCGTCTAAGATCAAAGAGTGTTGACGATTTATCATCTTCTTTATTATCATTAAAAAATTGCATCACCTCAGATTTTGTTCGAAGTGTAAGAAGCATGAAAGAATTAAGTCGCTTTAAAGCCACAGAATTTCGAACCATAGTTCTTTATGTTGGTCAAATTGTTCTCAAAAATGTCTTAAGCAATAAATGCTATGAACATTTTATGACTCTAAATATTTCAATGTTAATACTCCTCAGCCCAGAAAAAAGTACACTGGTTGATTATGCTAGAGACCTTTTAAATTATTTTGTTAAAAGGTTTGGAGAAATATATGGTAGTTATCACATATCACACAATATCCATGGTCTTCTGCATTTATGTGATGACTATGATTTGTATGGACCATTGGACAACTGTAGTACATTTGTATTTGAAAATTATCTAAAAGAATTAAAATCATTACTTAGAAAACATGAAAAACCGTTAGCTCAAATAATCAATCGTTTGGCTGAGAAAGATAATATAACTGCCATGCAAGAAATTAGTGAAATCACAGATAGACATGACAAACCTTCTCAAGATATTATTCTGAAACAGACTCATACTAATGGACCTTTAATTAAAAATATATTTGGACCACAATACTATGATTTATTTTATGAAAATATTCATATTAATATAAAAAAAGAAAAAGATTCTTATGTTTTAACAAAAGATAATACTTTGGTCAAATGTCTCAATATTGCACATTTTAACAATAAACCAGTATTAATTGGACAATTCTTTAAGTCTCTGCTGCCTTACTACATGAAACCATTAGATTCTACATTGTTGGACATATTTGAAGTCAAAAATCTGTCTAAAAATATCCATTATTGGCCAATTTGTGATATAAAAAAAAAAATTATGATTTTAAAACATGGCGGAAAGCTTATAGCCATGCCAATTATTCACTCAACAGTAGAAGAATAATTATAAAATATGACTTTGTAAATTATATGTTAGGTACAAATAATTAAATTAGAGTGTTTATTACCTTAATTGTATTATTTATTATTTTTATTCTGTTAGAAGTGTGATTTTGTAAAATATATATTAATTTTGTATTATTTTAAATACCAAGTGTTTGTATGATATAGGTTTAGAAAATATATTATCTTAGTTTTTATATTATTTGATCAATTTACTTATAGAAAACATTTAAATTTAGTTTTACGTAGTAATACTTAAATTGTTTATGTTTGAATTGATTAGTCATAATAAATTAATTTTTTATGATTTGAAGACTACATATATTTAATTGGTAAAGTTAATTAAATTGTATACATACTTATAAAGTAAATACTATTATTTAATTTTACTTAATAGATGAAACTTTGGGAAGTTGTACATTTTACATCAGAAAATTCTGTAGAAGCTGTACCTCACACATGGCTAAAAAAAACTAAATGTGCTTGGCCTAAAAATCCAAGACTGGTAAAAAGATTCATAGAGAATCATGTTGAACCAAACCCCACTGAATTTTATTATTGCCCAGCAATAAAATTGGGGAAAAGGAGTTATGGTAAGTTTCTTAAATATTTTTATGTTTACTTTTATGAAATTAATTTAATATTAATATAATATAGATTCATTGACATTGGCTCAAATGAAGGCTGCAAAAGCTACAGTTACTAATGATTTATCCTCAACTGATGATGCTCAATATAATATGTCAAAAAAAAATTATTCAACTAAACAACAATCAGGTATAATTACAAAAGAATCGCATACATCACCACCAAAATATAATGGTAATAATATATTAAATTCAAATTATATCACTCATTAATTTAACATTTTTTAAAATGAATTGTATAACATTTTTTTTTTTTAAATAGAATATTTAGAATCAAAACGTGAAGAATTAAGTAGTAAGAACAATATTGAACAAAACAAAGCTCAAAAACCATCTAACAGTTTTCCACCAAAAAAATATACAAGTAATGACATATGTGTATTTATAATTTATATATTATATTATAATTATATTTAAAATGTATAGCTCATTTATTTTATTTTTTAAAAATAATTTTGTTTCTAAATTATTTTTTTAGTTACCACTAAATCAAAAAATATGAATAATCTGCAGGAACAAGATGATGACAGCAGTCATGATGATTTACGTAATAATAATTGGAAGTCAAAATCAGTTTTTAATAATGGTAATACTTTTCTATAATTTGGAAAATGTTTCGATAATTATTATAATTATATGCAAACTGTATTAGTTAGTAGCAGTGATGATGACATTGTTGTTGGAACTCCATCAAAGGATAACAAATTTGTAAAGAAACTGCATTCTACCAAAGACAATTGGAAAACTCATACTGTTCATACACCAGAACGATATCATAACACAACAGCAGTTACACATTCTCCAGCTACTGATAAATGGACTGTAAGCAAAACACGTGAGACAACGTACAATGAAGGACCACCAGTTAAAAGAGCACTATTTAAAGATGTTAAGGATCCATACAACAAACCAGGTTATTACTAACTTTTGTTAATAGTTCATTTCATGTCATTCAGTTAATACAATTATATCTCAAATATATGTGAAGTTCATTAATTCCTTCTAATAATAGACAATAACTATAATAACAAAAAGGTTAGCAAAGCTTATTTTGCTAGCGTGCTAAATTCCCAGTTTCTAAATGTATTTTAATACAACACTATAAATATTATAATTCCATATACAATGTATGTACATTGTACAGTATAACAACAGACAATAAGTAAATACAAATTAACGATATAATATTATCTATATCAACAATAATTGTAATTAATACCTATAAATACTACTGGAAAATATAATAAATAAAAATCAACAATTGTATCTATTATGTACTGGTAACTTAAGGACGGACACAGCCGAAATCTAAGGTGTTCTAAACAAATATATTATTAAGAAACCTAAAATTGTTCTTTATTTTATAGGGTTATCAGCTGATACATCTGAAATATTGACTTCAAGTGAACAAAATAAGAACGTGCAGTATAAGACTACTGATGGTTAGTAGTTTTGTGGTATTTAATCACTCACAGATGTAATAGATACCTCTACAGTTTACATTATATTATAATAATAGCTAATATTGTATTTAAAGTTGTAATAGATGTTCAGTTGTTTTCTACTCTAATATAAATAATGATATTTTTATATATTTTCATTAACAACCAAACAATAATTATATTATTATAATTTATACCTTTTATACATTTACACATGTATGTACATCAATTATTTATTATGTTTAAAATGTATTAAATGTTTTAGATAAGTATAGGTTAATTTGTCAACCTATAGTCCGCGACATGAAAAGTTGCCCCTGTGTACCGCGACCCGTTGCTGCTTCCTTACCCGTTAGCCATTGGTTCTCAACATATACCGCATATACAGCGCGGGGGTCGCAGTGCCGGGCGCCCGCGCATAATGTGAACAACTGAGGCGAAACGTGACGGGCAGGGGCCATTTTTCATGTCGCGGACTATACATGTTTTTTAATTAACATGATGAGAAACATATTAATTTTAATTTTGTGTGTTAATTTAGCTTTTCAGACTTTTGTTGTTAACACACTTATCAATTTAAAATATGAAATCAATAACATTTCAAATGTTGTTCAAGCCAACCATTTAAACATTGATTGTCTCCTTGCAAATGCTAACAAAAATCCATCCATTGACATTTCAAACATTGAATGCAACATGTTTCCCATTGAAAAAGATGAAGATTTCTACAATTTTGAAAAGAAAATCAAAATTGATAATGGTTTCAGAGAATCCTTGGTAAATAATATAGCATTTATATCTTTCAAAAACTATATTTTGTATAATAAGACATGTTTTTCCTAATGAAACACATTTTTAAATGTCTGAAAAGTCAATGTTTTTCAGCTACTTCATAAATTAAAATAAAAAAAATCTTATTTTGTCAACTGTATAATCGTTATATGTGGTTTTGTTTATTATTCTTAATTATTTTACTATATTTATACCAAATGTTTTTATTTTGCAGATTATGAAATTGTCAGTTTTAACTGACAGCAATGATTTGGGAAATAGTGTACGCAGGGTAATTGGTCGCATGTTTAAAGACAATGTATTGGTGAATTACTCGCTGTTTGGGTTTAAGAAAAAACAGTGTTTCTCTTCTTTATTGAGCTACCGTCTGATAATAGGTAAAATCTAAATTTTAAGTATCTTAAATTGTTGATTATTATGTTTGAACCTCGTTATCAATTCCAAATTAATTAATTATTTTAGGAAATAATTTTTTTCTCAATTATTTAAATTTCACAATATAATACTAATATGAATAGTACATACAATAGGTGGTAGTTTTCAAAAGTAAAAAAATATAATCCAATGCAATTATTTCTGTTATTTTTTTAATCTTGTTATTGGATATATTTATAATTAAATTAGATAGGCATAATATTATATGACTTAAAATTGCTATTTGATATAAATACATTTTTATTTATTAAATTATTACAAAGGGTGTGTTGGTATAATTTAATATTTAATAATCATGTAAAGTAAAATAGGTACATACACTGTATACATTACGACAAAAGTTCAAACAATTTGTTTATTATAATTTTGGAATTAGAAATAACGCAGTCACACTTTATGCGATCAACATACTTGTTAATTAAAAAATGTATATTAACTTTTTTAAACCGAGTTAAGTTCATATTTTTTTCCATATTAACTTTTAACTTATCGAGTTTAATTATTTATTATTTTCATGACCTATTGCCCACCTTTGGTAGATTTAGTCTTTGAGAACCAAAATAATGTATATCCTAGAAATTTGAAAATCATAATAACGTTCACTGTAGGAAAATAAGTTGCTTATCTTTTGCTAGTCAAAGTTAAGATGCATATATTTATAGTCTTTTTAATGCTATATAGGTTGTTGAAGTCTCAATGGTGAAAATTATACATTTTATATTATTATCTCTGTATAACATAAATATAGGTATCTCATATAAATTAAATGTTATCAGTGTAAAATAAATATAAATTATGATACTATATATATTGTTTTAGCTTATATTATTATTTAAATTAAATAATAGTTAAAAAAATATTTTTCAGATGCAATTAGAACCAACATTAGGTACAAAAATATTCCAGAAAAGGATATTGACAACTGCCTTGGCATATGGCTCTCACATGCGCCATTTCGCCTAAAAAAAAAAAATTCAAAACAACCTGATAACCTGTGAACATTTATATTAAAAAATAATAAAGAAGTGATGTATAATTAAATTTAAAGCTTTTTGTTTCAATATGATATTTAATTTGTATATTTCCTTATTCCTGGGTAAATATTTTCTGAATATTATGACCATATTAAATCTAAAACATTCATATGTGTTTTTGTGGAAATGTTAAACCACAATATTTTGGGTATGTTATAAAACAATATTATGGAAACATAATTTTTTTTACCGTGATAATTTTATCATAACATTATTATAATGTTAATGAATCTTTAAGTAATGTTATTATAACATTCTTAATAATATTATTATTAAAATTATAACGTTACTTGAATATTGTGGTAACATAATTTTGCTGTCTGGGTATTATTGTGATTTTCATTATTAGTAATTTTTGAATTAAAATTACAATCTATTTCAATATTTCTTGGAGTTGATAAAAGAGTCCTGCTATCAACCGGTAAATCTTTGAAACATTTATGTTTTTTTAATCCCTTTAATCTTCCATTCAAAGCTATATGCGAAATGTTAAAACTAAGAGCCCATGATGCTAGGAAGTCTATTAAGGAAAAATCTTGTTGAATAATTGAACGTTCGTCAACATTATCACACAGAATATCAGATAACTCTTCTGAGCAAATATTGGAAGTACAAGTACTAAATAATATTGGGTCTGAAATTTTAATAATTGGAGAAGACACTGTTGGAGACAATACATTTAGTACTGTATTTAATGATTCATTATTGTGATATGGATTAACTGATGGAGAAACTTCAAGCAAAATATCATTAGATTTGCCATAAATTGCATTAAGTGTATAATCGATTTCATTTTTAATTTTTCTTTTTTTCGAACGTTCACTTAAAATCATTTTATATGATGAAGTGATAAAATATATAGGCACCTGCAGCTTGTCTATAATATAAAAATGTAAAATACAAAATACAAAATAGTAAAAACTTAAAAATTATTTAGATATGTATCTATAATAAATACACTTAAAGTTCATAAAATCTAAGAAGATACTCACGTTTATAAAAATAACCTCACTAATATACTGCAATAGTACTCATAATTATTATCAACACATTTAAACTTGACCTAAAAACATATTATACATTTAATATATATTTTTAAAAAAATATTTATACCTAAGTAGCCAAGATCTAACCATATTAAAAATTGTAATGTTAACAAATATGAGAAAAAAATGAGCTAGTAAATTGAGATTTAAACTTTTTAGTATAAGCTATAAATTAAATAAAAATAAAAAATTAATAAATTTAAAAAATAACAATTAAAATGAATCAGTAGTTGAAATTTAAAATTTACTTAATACCAATGATTATAAATAGTATAATTAATGTTATTTCTTAAATATAGTATTATAGTGAATAGAAGCCCTATAATTTTGAGGGTCGTATTAATTATTTTAGTGAAATTGCAAGGGATTCATAGGCATCCCATACATTTCATAAATAGTAGGTACCTACTACCTACCAATACCATACATTTATAGGTACATACTAAAAGCAGGCCTTGATGTAGAAGCCTAAACAGCTAATAAAAAAAATATAGTACCTACCTACCTATGACGTATAAAACTTATACATTTATTACCCCATACTACCTAGTACCTACCATATTATTATATTCTGTGGTACTATTTACATTTCACTTCGTACTTGCCATATAATCGAGCCAGAAGAAACGTGTTCATTGATTTTAATAATATTTATTACACTATATCTATTATAGACAGCTAACACTGTGACACTGTATACTATTAAATATTGCTCTATAATAATTGAATATAGCTCTATTAGTAATTAAATAAATAATTTACTTACCTATATAAGAAATTGACTGCGGACGCGGGTCCAAAACATCCAATAATCGACACTGTGAAACAAACAACAATATAAAAGCACTACGGCAGACGCTGACAAAGTGTCAAAAATCAAAATGGATAACGTTGGACGCAGAAACTCAGAAGGCGAATTGACAGTTGACAATAGACAATAATAATATATTTATATTTCTATATCTTCATGGATGAAATAATTAAAAACAGCTAAGAAATGCCCACAATAACAATAATAACCACAAACGGTATTAGATCCTGTTCTTGAATTGGAAACAGAAAATCTGCCTGTTATAGAACATGACACTATATTCTGTGAACCTGAACTGCAGAGAGAGTATAAAGATGCAGCGGTGCAAGTTACGAGTGGTGATATATTTACATCATTTTTGAGCATGATTGATACCCAACCAAAATTAATCACCATGACTGGTATTCCATCATTTATCCTCTTAAATAAAATATGTGAACTTTTTTCAACAAATTTTCCTGATAAAAGAACCCATAACCTAGACATTAAAGGCCGTATTGTATTAGTATTCACCAAACTAAAACAAGACCTATCATTTGCTGTACTAGCTGTTCTTTTTAAAAATATAAGTGTTTCTTCTTGCAGACAAATTTACTTATCGACAATACCTTTAATAAGTTGCCTTCTAAAAAACTGTATTTACTGGCTTAGTAATGATGAAATTGTTTCAAATTTACCAAACTGTTTTAAAGATTTTCACAATGTTAGAGTAATATTAGACTGTACTGAAATCACAATTCAAAAGCCTAAGTGCCTTTCGTGCCGTATTAAACTTTATAGCAATTACAAATCGAACTATACTCTAAAATTTATGTTAGGAGTATCTCCTGGAGGTCTCATTACCTTTATAAGTAAAGCCTATGGAGGAAGAGCTTCTGATAATGTAATTTTTAAACAAAGTAATATTGTTCAATTAATGAATGAACATGATGCGATAATGGTTGATAAAGGGTTTCAAATTGATGATACCTGCAATGAGTATAATTTGATCCTCA